TTATTATTATTATTATTATTATTATTATTATTATTATTATTATTATTATTATTATTATTATTATTATTATTATTAATATTATTATTATTAATCTGTTTTGTACTTCTTAATCCACTCTTGAAAACCTTAGATTCAAAACCGAATAAACGTTTAAAAGTAATAATGAATCCTGTTTCTGGAAAGGGTAAAGCAGTGAAGATTTTTAATAAGGAAATTAAACCAATTCTTGATGCAGCCAGTTGTACATATGACATAACACGTATGTCGCGTCTTACATTATCTAATCATAGCATCATTTAACACGCGTGATATTTACATCAACATTAATAATTATTGTTTTTAATAATTATTATTAGGTACTGAACGTGCTAATCAAGCGAATGAATTAATGAGAACTCTTGATTTAAAGAATTATGATGCAATCGTTTGTGTTGGTGGTGATGGTACTATGTATGAAGTTGTCAATGGAATTTTATCACGTGAAGATGCTATGGATGTAAAAATTCCCCTGGGTATAATCCCTGCTGGTAATTTTATTTTATTTTATTATTATTATTATTATTATTATTGTTATTTGTTTCATCAGAATTTTTATTTATTTATTTATTAATATTGTTAATCATTTTTAGGTTCAGGAAATGCATTAAATATTTGTTTACATGGTGATAATTGTGGTTTTGATGTAGCTCATTCAACACTTACTGTAATCAAAGGTATAACCAAAATAATATTTGATTAAGTATTTAATTAAAATGTTCATTAAATCTTTAATTTAACACAAACCTATTATTATAACTTATTATAATTTAATAGGTGTTCCAATGGAAATTGATATTTGTTCTGTAACACAAGGTGATAAAAGATTCTTTTCTTTTCTGACTCAAAGTTATGGAATAGTTGCAGATTGTGATCTGGGAACTGAAAATATGAGGTAATTATACATTTATTTATTACTAACTGCCGGGAGAATATATTTATATACTGATATTTTATATAAATGTTTGTTTATCTTATTAGATGGATGGGTGAAATCCGTTTTACGATTGGAATAGTTCAAGGTATTCTAGCAGGCCGTCGATATGGTTGCGAAATAGCAGTAAAATTTGTTGAAAAAAATAAAGAATTAATTAAAGATTCTTATAGAAAAGGATATTCGGCAACTACAACCACAACAACAAAGATAATTGATAATAATAATGATCAAGACAACACCAATAATAATAAATCAATTATGAACAACTTATATGGCACAGTAAATGACCCAATTCCAGAAGATTGGGAAATTTTAAATGATGACCTTTATTTGTTTTTTTGTGGAAAATCTCCTTGGGTTGGTAAAGGATTTCTAATATTTCCTTGTGCTTTACCTTCCGATGGTCTTATGGATTTAGTAATTATGAAAAGGGATGGAATATCAAAAACAAAATTTTTAAGTTTATTAAATTATGCTAGTACTGGAGCACATCTTAATTTTAATGAGGTAAGTGTAAAAAAATGTTACGCGTGTCATTTGTTTCGAGTATCATTTATTTATCTGTCATAATTAATAATTAATTATGATACATTTATTATTCAGGTTGAATATTCTAAAATTAAAGCTTTCCGTTTGACTCCCAAGAATCGTCAATATGGATATATTGGTATTGATGGGGAAAGAATTCCATATGAACCTTTTCAAGTAGAAGTTCTACCAAGATTGTTAACTTTACTTAGTGTTGATGGAAATTATTTTCATTCTAATATTTGAATTATATCATAATCCTCTTAGATATTATAGATATTATATATAATTTTATCATATATTTTTTATTTTTCCGATCTTCTCTCATGCATATTATTGTGTAATTTTATATCTTTATCATATTTAAAACTTACAAATTGTTTTTTAATAATTTATGAAAATCAAACAAATCAATAAAAAGTATTCATTTCGTTAATATAAATTTTACGTATGAATGATTTCTCCGATCCAATCACCCAATTGTTTAAATGCGCGAATAATTATTAGTAATTCGTGTGTGATATTTGGCAAATAAATTTTGGGTTCCACCAAAAAAATGCGCAGATAAATCATATACTAATTTACACCAGGTTTTAAGTAGAATCTTATATTTAATCAACTTTCTTATTCATTATTTTTTTTTAAAAAAAAGCTGAATAGAATAAAAGAATTTCCAGAATTTATGATAAAATATTCTTATTTATGGATAGAAGTATTCATAAAACTATTAGTCAATGAGAAGAACATTTATAACAAACCTTCGAAAGTGAAGTATCATTAACAGAATTTGAAAAGAAATTTTTAATTTATTTAAGAATTCAATTCAACTCAGAAAAAAAAACAGCTATGCAATTATTGTCCAAATCAACTCAGTATTGTGAGTTTGGTATTTGAAGATTTTTGAAATTGGAACTTCAGGAAATATGGAAATTGATGAATTAATTCATGAATTCCAAAAAAAGACTAATATATTATTGAATGTATTGAATATAATCAATTTGAAGATATTACTATATACACTGGTTATAATCAATCACCAAGAAGGTTTGGCAGACAAATAATTCTTGTAATAATAAAGGAGCATGGTTACAAGAGATATGACATTTCATTTTTTTAATCCGTTACTATCTTATAATTTCATTGCAATTTATATGCTATGCTACCAAACTTTGAATAATATTTTAATTGTTAAATGCTTTGGATTACTAAACATCCAATTAGCAATGATCATATACTTGTCTCAATATTTTTGATTGTGGCTTAAATCATTATTTAGCAAATAATTATTGTTTTATAAATTGACCTCAAAAAATATAAACATTATAAGAAATAAGTCTAATTTATATATGATTCAGAGACTCAATTAACATTTTACATTATTTCTGAAGTTTGTCCAACAACAATATAATAAAAATCATATATTTATAGCTTGGGTACATTAAAGTGAGAATTTGCAACAGGAATATGCTTCTGTTGAAATTAATCATGAAACTCAACTTGTCTTTAGAAATTTTTCTTTTATAAAAAATTTTATTTTTTTCCATACATTATTTAATAATTAAAATTTTATTTTATATATCAAAATTAGACCTTACAGGTAAGATTAATTTGAATTCAAAAGAATTAAATTGAATCACAAAAAGGTTATAGTCTGAAGTTTTAAATTAAGATTTAGTGATTTAATGATACTAAAGATGAAATTAGAATTAAGATTTGTCAGATGTCACTGGTTGAATAAGTAAAATTTTTAGCACAGATAAACAAAAAAATACTGTCAGGCACTAAGCTGAACAAGGATCTGAAAGGATACTAAATTAAAATATATAAAACTATAACTAATAACTATAACTAACTGTTCACTTCATGAAAATAACATGAATCCAATTTGCTTTGACACAGTGTTACCTTTCTAAACCTTTAACTTTGTAGAAGGATGACAGTGACAAAAATTTAAACTATTAAGCTAAATTACTACTCTATAAATTATGCAAATATAACTTAAACTAACAATTAATTAAACTGTGAGAGTTTTGGATAAAGGAATTATGGTACAGTCAATTATGAAAGAGATGATTTAACTATTAAAAGTGATATGAGGACTTGCTAATAGGCAGTGTATCAATTAACAATTAACACTTTAACAAATTAAAACTGTGTGAAAGAATGTTTTTATTACAATTCTAAAACTTAAACTGTAACTAATGAACTCTAATTCACTGTCTAACTTGAGACTTGGAAGAAACTCCAGCCTTTATATATATTATAATTTTAACCTAATTCTATGTTTGTAACTATGTCTAAAGCTTGATCTGTATTTATGACTAAAACTATGTTTAAAGCTATATCTGTATATATGCTTAAATATATGTCTGAGTATATGTCTATACTAGACTTACATGTAGTTACAAGAATTTTGTATAATAACTAGTTTAAGTAATAAATTGTAATTCATATTATATATATTGAAATTGATCTACTAATAATTATAAGATAAATAATAAATAAATAAATATAAAATACTTATAATAAATAATAAAAATTAAAAATAGTATAAAAATAAAAAAAATAAAAACAAGGTAACAATTCCTTTCTACTTAATCATGAAATTCTTTTCATGATAATTCAATATTGTCTGCAAAGTCATTAAGTCCATTTTTATATTGAAGTAACTCTTAATATTCTGTGATTTTCATTTGTGAAATAATTTTAAAGGACAAGATTACAGTATAATAAATTTGACAAAGATTATTTTGAAAGAGTTTGTAAACTTTATTAATACTATACTTGTATACAAAATTATTTTGGAATTCTGAAATTACAATTTTAGAAAAAAAAAGTTAAAATAGTTTTTCATCAAAGACAAAACTATTTTATTTAAAATCCAAAATTTTTTGACTATTTAGATAAATCCTTGATTAAAGATATACTTAACTAAATATTTTTTTTACTTCCATATATAGAATGGATTCTGAGTAAATCTCAAAAAGATGAAATACCTCAAAAATCAAAAATCAATTTTGAGAACATGTATAATTAATATTACAGTAAAAATATTAGTCATCAGAAATTTGATTGTTGGTTACAAATTTTTTTCATTTTTTCTGTGGAATAATAGAAAATTGAACTAATTTATCAAGATAATAGTTATAAATTAAAGTCTTTATCCTTTGATATTTTTTGCTTGCATATTTCAGTTGATAATAAAGAGATTGAAATGAAGTTTTTAAGGTTTACTCAAATTATAAGGTAAATCAATTTGTTCTAAAAGATAACTTCCATATCTGATTAAATCTTATTGATATTGTACCATTTTCAAAATTTGAAAGGAAGAAAAATAGATCAAAATTTCAAGATAGTAGATATTTTTATAGTAAACTAAATTATGCTAAATAAATTTCTTTTGATATTACATTATCGACTGATGACTATCTGTAGTATTTAAGAATTTCTTTCATTATATCTTTTTAGTAAAGATCTGTTAATTGATGTTTATAAAACCTTTTTATCTATAGGTGCCACCCAAATTCAAAATGATAAATCCCAAATTCCAAATCCCAAATCTCAAATTACTAATTGCCAAAATTCCAAATCCCAAATTATGCCAAATCCCAAATTTCAAATACTATGAAAAATGAATTTTGGCAGCTAAAATGCCAAAATAATTTGGAATTTGAATGGTATGTATATTTTTATCTACTTTGTTAAAATCAACATTTTTGAAAAATATCACCTTGATATTAAAATGATATCACCTTGATATCACCTTGATATCACTTTAATATTTAAAAAATATTATCCCAATATCTCAAAATATTATATTGAAAAAATATTATCCAATATCTCAAAATATTATATTGAAAAAATATTATCCCAATATCTCAAAATATTATATTGAAAAAATATTTAAGGATATTTTTGAAATATTTTTTTGATATAATAAAATATCACCACAATATTTCTAAATAATATCAACTAATGTTTTAAGAATATTAATTTAATATCATTTCAATATATTTTTTTTTGTTCCAGCGAGGCCTTGCTCCAAATTTATTAATTAAGAAAAGAGAAAGTCTTTTACATTATTATTACATAAAGCAAAATACACAACTTATCCTAATAACTATTTTAAAGATGGGACTCAGACTAACTCTATAAAGAGACATGCCTGCAACCTACCACCTGACAGCAACAGCTATCCGGGAAGCTTAAATTATACTTTTATATACTTTTTATACTTTTATCTATTTTTTAGCATTTTTAAAAATATTTTTATTTTCTTGTTTTCTTTTTTTTCTATATTTATTTTCTTTCTTTTTCTTTTCGTTTTTCTTCTATCTCTATTTTTTTCTTTATATTTTTTCTTTTTCTTTTTCTTTTCATATTTTATCCTATAAATTCATATTTTTTTCATATTTTCTTTCTATTGCTCATATTATCAATAAATATATCTTCTTTCATGTATTTCTACACATATTAAGTCAAAATCGACCAAAACTTCAAGAAAAGGTGCCAATAATACTATTGCTATTCAATCAATATGATTTTTGTAAGAATTAGCCATATTTTATTGACATTTCGATCATTTTTTATTTCAACTTAATTCAACTATATCTCAACAAAATTTCTGCAACATTTCAATAATATTTCAACAATTATATTTATATTATTTAAAAATTTGTATATATAGTAAATATTGATGATTATTCAGCAATATTTTGATAGGAATATTGGCGACTATTCAGCAATACTTTGATAGGAATATTTATGGGTATGATACAATTCAGCAATATTTTGATAGGAATATTTATGGATATGATACAATTCAGCAATATTTGATAAGAATATGATACAATTCAGCAATATTTCAGTAAGTATATTTTTATAATGGAATATTTAATTTATATTAGTATTTGAGTATATTTGATGCAAATTTAGTATGTATATTAAATAGGAATATTGATGAACATGATACAATTCATTAATATTTTGGCAAGTATATTTATAGATGTATTTGTAATATTGGATCATTTTGATAGGAATGTTTTGAATATTCAGCAATATTTTGATAGGAATATGATGAATATGATACAATTCAGCAATATTTCGGTAAGTATATTTGTGGATATATTTGTAATATTGGAATATTTTGATATATATTAAATATTGATGACTATTCAGCAACATTTTGATAGGAATATAATACAATTCAGCTATATTTGATAGGAATATTAATGAATCAGATACAATTCTGCAAGATTTCAGCAAGTATATTTGTGGATATACTTGTATTATTGTAATATTTTTTATATATATTAAAATATCAATGACAATTCAGCAATATTTTAATAGGAATATAATTCAATTCAGCATTTTGGCAAGTATATATTTGTAATATTGGAATATTTTAGGAATATTGAAGAATATCATACAATTTGACAATATTTCAGTAAGAATATTGGTGAATTTGATACAATTCAACAAAATTTTGGCAAATAATTATAATAGAATGTTTTATACAAATTCGAATCATTAAATAATAAATTTCTTCTGATATTCGTATATTTGTTTCTGATTGTCATCAGAATTAAGTCTAAATTTATTTATCATTTCATTCCAATTTTGGTATATTTGTTTCTGATTGTTTGCCGAAAGATAATTCCAAATTGTGACAAATGGCTGCCATTCGTCACACAAATGGAAGTAGATTTTGGCAAAAAAAATGGTCACCTTTCAGTTACCTTTCAGCTGAAAACCTGTCATCTGAAATGGAAACTTTTGACCAGTGTCATTCAACAACAGAAATATTATGATGGAAACATGTCTATTTTACTGTCCCTAAAGGAAGTTTACTTTTCTATTTAATAATATTAAATAAGGATATTGAACAATTTAAAATTTTTGAGCAATTTCAAGGCTTTATTTGATAACTTGTCAATAAGCTTAGGCAAAGCATGGTCTTAATCATGAAGCATTATTATTGGCAAGATGAGTTTAGAGACATTCAACCAATTCATCTGGCTCAAGTTCATCAAAAGGTCCAAAAATAACTGAATTCTTCAATTTTCTTATTAGATTATTCTACCAGAACTTTTTCTATTTTTCTTAATTGACATGATTTCATTGAAAGGAATTTCGTCGATTTATTTCTAAAGTAACGATTGCAAAATATAGGAATGATCTTTAAAAATTTGATTATTTGGGCTTCACCAAATTCAATTTTAAAATTATAATCAGCAGTCTTCAAGAAGTCACTTATAAAATTTAGTGGTCATTTTTCTTTAATTATAAATGTCACAACATAAGTAAATAATTTTTTCATAAACTTAAAAAATTAAATAATTTTATTTGTGCACAAAAGAAGAATAAGTATAAATGGTACAGACGTAATAAACATGACTCTGATAAGATTTAGAAATTTGTTATTTTACAAAAAAACTCATTTCTTCTCGAAACTTTAAAAACCTCATATTCTCCAACATTAAATGTAGATTTATCAGAAGAAGGTGGACAATGATCTAAACTCAAAAACTCAGCGGAACGAATTGGTTTGTCAAAACTTTCACCATTTATTCTGCAATAGCTTAATTTACTAGTTTTCAAATTTTCCCTTAAAACTAATGTATGACCAAAAGAAAACCATAATTCATTACTAAAAAAACCAATTGCATAACCATAGTTTACCCTACTTAAAATGGAATTTTTCAGATTTGCAGTTTTCAACGAAAATGCAAAACTGTCACAAGTAAAATTTCTACCATTTGTCTCTTTAGTCCATTGGAGGGGATTATACCCTCCAAGAATTTCTTCAGTTCCTTCCACCTTTAAAACAATAACCGTGTTTGAAACTTTATCACAAATATCATAAATATTTTGAATATCAAAGCCATCTTTACTTCCATTAATAAGCAATTCAAATTTACATTGGATATTTCCAGTGTAATATGGTTCTTGTCTATCAATCCAGGATAAAATTTCCAAGGAGTGCTCAATAGTAAGAAGATTAGAATCTGGGATAGTTCTTGTGGGCAAAACTATTGAAGATATAGGTTTATCAGGGGTCATGATTTTAGAATTGATGTCTAGAAAGAGTTTAGGTTCAAGAATTTGCTGATATGGGAAAATCTTTTCTATCACATCTTCGTTGGAAAAACTGAAATATCTAATGTATGGGAGACATCCTTTCAAAGTACCTTTTAAAGTTAAGAAATTATCGCTTGTCCATTCATCGAGATTAGCGGGTAAAGTAGAATTTTTTGCTTTTCCCCATTTGATTACATATTCCCAAATTTTGCCTTCTAATAATTGCAAGTCATCTCGTTTAATTATCGACATTAATGCATCTTCAGAAAGAGAATGAAAATTTTCAGATTCAAAAATAGTACTAGGATGTTTGGCAATAATATCATTGTAAAATTCTTGTATAATTTCAAGATTTTTGACTTGATAACTTTTTCTGTAAATTTGAGCAAATTTTAGTCTTAACCAAGAAGCATGGTTGTTGACAAGAAAAGTTTGGATATATTTAACTAATTCATCCAATTCGAGTTCATTAGATGCAATTAATAGGTCAAAAATAGTAGAATTTTCTAATTTTTCTAACGAAATTAATCCACCATAAATATATCTAAATTACATAAAAAATATTTATTATTATTCTAAAATAGTATAAAAAAAATTATAATAAATTTAAGAGATTATGCTCACTTGATTATGACATTGAACATTTTAATAGAAATATTAGTATTAGGCAACGTTAATGTTCTGATATAGTCGTCATTGAAAGGAGTTTCATTGAATTTATTTTTAAAATAAGGACTACGGGATTGTAAAATATAAGAATGAAGTTTAAAAATTTGATTATTAGGAGCTTCACCAATTTCAATTGTAACATTATAATCAGTAGGGTTTTCAAGAAGTTGAATAAGGTCATTTGATAAACGGTCAAAAAATTTAGCGGTCATTTTTTTTTCGTTTAAAAAGAAATTTAACGGTCATTTTTTTTTTTCGTTCAAAAAAAATTTTAGCAAAAAAAAAATCAGGTGACAATAAATGTTCTTTTTATAATAAAAATTTAGCAAAAATATTTGACAATCGGTAATGTACGAACTAAGTCCATTAAAACCTTCGAGTGAAGGTGGCTCTAACTCTTCTAAGAAGGCGAATAAACCTGAAAAGAAAAAAAGCTTGGTTAGTACACATTTTTTTTATTTCTTGATCTGTTAAAAACCAATTGTTAAAGATCTCGAGAAAAAAAAAATGCAATGTTACTAATTAAATCGAGGGAAAGAACAAACAAATTAATAATATTTTGTTTACTTTTTTCCAATCTTTTCAATATCATATTTAAGATTTTCAAACTTTTGATCTTTTATAAATATCATTAATTAATTAATTAATTAGACGGTATACCGCAAGAACTTTTTCAATTAATAGGTGGTCCACCACCGATAGCTTTCGTTAAACCTGCTTATAAGGCAAAACCGAATTTACGTAAAAAAGCTACCCAATGGTAATAATAATAATAATAATAATGATGATGATGATACATAGAATTGAAAATTGGGTTCATCTTTCAATCGGAAAAATTATAAGATTAAGAGAAAGAGGATTCTTACTAGTCTGTCTTCGATGGATTACAAGAAAAAATTATTTAAATGATTAAATAATTAAATAATAATTTATAATTAAAATAATTAAATAAAATTTTAGGATTTATAAACCTTTCGTTAATAATTTAAGAAGTGATGGATTACAATTGAATCATTGGACAAAAGTTTCTTCTGATGAAGCTAATTAGGCAAAAATAATTTATTAATTTAATAAAGGAAAACAATATTTTATTAATCTTTCTCCAATTACAAATATATACTGCAAATTATCGAATGACAGAATATAAAAGTGTTAATATATTGGAATATACTGATGAAGAATATCAAAAATGCTTGGCAGGTAATAATAATAATAAAAATAAAAATAAAATGAATGAATAGGAAGGATTTTTCAATTAAAATTTTAAAATTAATTTCATTATTTAAAATACTTATTTAGATAAAGATTGGACTAGGGAAGAGACGGATTATCTTTTTAGTTTATGTAAAAAATATGATTTAAGATTTATGGTTATTCTGGATCGTTGTGAGTATCCAAATAAGGTGAAAGTGAGTATTAAATCAAAATCAAATGAATTAAATTACGTTATTATTTTTAAAATTTAAATGAATTATATTTTTATTATTAGGGTTTTAAAGATTATTATTACGTATTCGGTGTGTAAAAAAATTTTACATGTGCGACCACTAGTTCCCGGTACAACTGACAAAGGAACCCTTATTGCATCGAATAGTTATTATAAATGTAAATTTCACCTATTATTCATAATATTTAATAATAACTATTCGATTTATAATATTTAATAATTTAAAATTATTATTTTATTTTAACCCAAGCGAAAGAAATCAATTCTTAGTAATCCAACAACTCCAACAATGGAAATTACCAATTCAATTTTTCGTGCTCCCATGGATTTATTATCTACCAAGAAAAATCGACGTACATCATCACCTTCTATCGCGGCAGCTGCTTCTGAAGGTAAACTATTATTTATCAATTATATGTATATATATATATATATTATTTACTTATTTGTTTTCATTTATCTTATTTATTTTTGATTTTTTTTTATTTTCATTCACCTATCGAAGTTCATAATATACCAACCACAGTTCGACGAGAGAAATTCCCTCCGGGTGTAGTTGATAGAGTTTCAAGGATGCCCTTACCTAAACAAGCCATGGCTGTTAAAGTAACAAAGGCATTACAAGAATTTGGATTAGGTAAGTTAACGATAATAATGATATTATTAACAATATTATTAACATCAATAATATTATTATTATTATTTAACATTAATAATAATAATAATATTATTATTATTATGATTATAGGTCCACGTCCAACGATTCCAACAGAAATAGTTTGTGCTCGTTGGACAGAATTACAAAAGGCCATACAAACATTATTAGAAATAAAGAAAGGAGTAGATAAACATGAACATGAATTAAAAATCAAAGTAAATTTATATAAAAAGATAAGCTCGGGTATTGAATTAAATGGATCATCTAAATCAATTGTTGATGGAAATGATGGAAGTGGTGGAAGTGGTGTTGGTAGGGTAGTGCTAGTGGAGGTGGAACAAGTACTCCAAGAAAAGCTGATAGTGATAGAACAATTAATGGTAGTGAAGCTGGTAGTCCGGTAAGTTTATTATTTTTATTATTAAATCTTTGAAATATTGTAAATCTTGTTGGATGATGAATTAAATTAATTTTATAAGATATTTTATATATTGCAGTTACGGAAACGAGATCGAATTACTTTGTCTGCTTCATCTCTGGATGTTAAAAGAGCTCGCAAATAAAATTGTGATTACTGTGATTTATTGTGATTGTTGTTATTGTTGTGATTTTCGTGAAGTTCAGACAATATTATGATGACTATATCGTTTGTGGGAAGTATTATGATGGTTACGACATTACTTATGACATTTCTTGTTGTAACGTAAGTGGAATTTTTGAGACATTATCATGGTTAAGTTTCAATAATTTCTAAATAAATATTAAGTATAAGAATATCGATGTTCGAAGAAATATATACATATTTGTAATAGACAATTTAAATTTCACAATAAAAAGCTTTTATTAAATAAATAAATAACAAAATCAAATAAATAAATCAATCAAATAAATTAATAATAATTTTTAAAAAAAATAATAAAGTAAATGTGTTCCTAATTTTAACCGGGGGAAAGTTCCTTTGGGTGATATATAAATGTGAAATAGTATTTTAGATCCAAAAAATTGTCCCTAAAAATAATATCATAAAAATCGAATATTGGAGGTGGTGATAATAATACTAAAATGCAGCACCTCTAATTGATTAGCTAAATGGATAATAAAATATATTATAGGGTGGGAAATTTCCCTCTGGTTAAACGTATAATTAATTTCTTCATTACTAATATTAATACAATATTATATAATAGAATTTAATTGAAGAAAATATTCATTCATACTGTACATGCACTTTTTCTTTTTTTTCACTTTTTGCGATCATTATCATAACATAAAGAAAATATTGACCTTTAACTTTTTCTCTTTTTCTCTCTTTATTATAATTCTAGAAAAATATAGTCTTCTATTTTTCTATAAAGAGAGAGAAGAGACTTTTAAATAAACATAAAAATAAAATTAATAATCAACCATTTTATTATTGTTGTTATAAGATGCTGTCACTGGATAATCCTTTGTCAAGCCACTTCTTAAAGTCTTACCAAAATGACTTGAGCAACATTTAATGTAATGAAGTAATAGTTAAGCATGTAATAGTTTTATTATCAACATAACATTTATTGTTCATCATCAGCGTTAATTATTTATTATCTCGCTTAATTTTGTTATTATAATACTTGCATTACTATTTGTAAATTGCTTAATTTCTTGGTAAATTTTTGAAAACCTCATATCTTCAACCGAAAATAAAGAAATGTTTGAGAAACATTTGAACTGATATTCATTAGACGAATTGTCTTAGCATGGAAGTTTTTCGAATTGCCTTTTAAGAATCATGACTCTCGAATTCTTTGAATAATTAGAAATCGCAATTTTTAAATTATTCTTACCCTACAATGAATTTTTTAGATCCGAAGGCTTCAATGAAAATGCATGTGAAAATCCTCCGAGAATTTTGAAATAATAATTGTATTTGGTACTTTATCACAAATTTTAAAAATAGTTCCAATATAAAACCCGTTAATGAGTAATTTAATTTCATATGGATAATTTTCAATATAAGGAGTGGGCTTCTTTTTATCAATTCATGGCGAAATTTTAAATGCATGTTCATCAATCATAAGACAAAGTAATTCTAGTTGGAAGCGTTATATGTAAAATCTTACGAGGTGGTAATAAGTTACAGGGTCTAGTATCAAAAAAGTTTAGGTTCAAGAATTTGATGATACGAAGAAATCTTTTTTTTTTACCACAGAAATATTTAAAAATCTTGTGTATGGTGCATCAAAGTTTTTAGGGTTAAGAAATTATTCTTCAAGATTCGTGGATTTTTTCTTTTTCCCATTAGATCACAATTCTAATTGTAAGTCATCTTTCTTAAAATTTTCAGATTCAAAAATAGTATAATAAGGATATTGAACAATGTAAAATTCTTAAACACATTTGATAACCTGTTCAATAAGCTTAAGCAAAGCGCGGTCTCAATTATGATGCATTATTATTTGCAAGATGAGTTTGGAGACATTAAAGGGTCAAAAATAACTGAATTCTCCAATTTTCTAATTAAATTATTCCACATAACTTTTGCTATTTTTCTTAATTGATATGATTTTCATTGAATCGAATTTATTTCTAAAGTAAAGATTGCAAAATATAGGAATGAGCTTTAATGAACTTTAAAGATTTGATCATTGGTGCTTCGCAAATTTCAATTTTAAAATTATAATCAGTAGTCTTCAAGAAGTCGCTTCGAAAATTTAGAAAATGAAAGGAAAGAATCACGCGAATAAAAAGCAATTACATAATTAGTGTTCTTCACCCTACTTAAAATTGAACTGCAGTTTTCAAAGAAGATGCACAAGTAGGATTTATATTATTTTTTTCTTTAATCCATTTAAAGGGATTATACCCTCCAGGAATTTCTCCACTTTTAAAACAATAATCGTGTGTCATAAATATTATAAATATTTTAAGATCAAATCCATCTCAACTTCCATTAACAAGCAATTCAAATTTATATTGGATGTTTCCAGTGTAATATGGTTCTTTTCTATCAATCCAGGATAAAATTTACAAGGAGGGCTCAATAGTAAGAAGATTTGAATCTGAGATATTTCTTGTGGGCAAAACTATTGAAGATATACGTAGGTTTATTAGGGTCATTATTTTAGAATCGATGTTGATATGGGAAAATCTTTCCTATCACATCTTCGTTGGAAAAACTGAAATATCTAATACATCCTTTCAAAGTATCTTTTAAAGCTAAGAAATTATCGCTTGTCCATTTATCGAGATTAGTAGGTAAAGTAGAATTTTTTGCTTTTCCCCTTTCATTATATATCCCAAATTTTGCCTTCTTCTAATTGTAAGTCATCCTGTTTAAGAATAGTAATTAATGCACCTTCAGAGAGAGAATGAAAATCTCCGATTCAAAAATGTATTTGGATGATTAGCAATAATATCATTGTAAAATTCATGTATAATTTCAAGATTTTTGACTTGACAACTTGTTAGATAGATTTGAGCAAATTTTAGTCTTAACCAAGATGTTTAACCAATTCATCCAGTTCAAATTCATTAGATGCAATTAATAGGTCAAAAATAGTAGATTTTCTAATTTTTTTAACGAAATTATTCCTCCATATCTAAATTACATAAAAAACAAAAATATATTATTATTTTATTGAAGTATATAAAAATATAATAAATTTAAGATATTGTACTTACTTGATAATGATATTGAATATTTTAATAGAAACATTAGCATTAGGTAGCGTTAATGTTTTGATATGGTCACCATTGAAAAGAGTTATGAAAACAAATCATTAAATAAGTCAAATTAAACATATTGTAAAAAATAATCTAATGTCTAAAGATTATTATGTATTACTATATCAAAAAACACAATTAATTTAAACCATTTTTTTGGGAAATTTTGAAAACCTCATACTCTTCAACTGAAAATAAAACTTTTTCTAAGAGGGATTTACCCATAAATTCATCAGAACGAATTGGTTTAGGATATATGAAACCCTTCACGCAATAACATCTCATGTTAGTTTTCAAATTGCCAATTAAGCATAAAGCAGTGCTAAAAGACAACTCTGATTTTCCTGGATAATTATAAATGGTACTATAGAAATGCTCCGCAGGCCTGCTTAAAATAAAATTCTTCAGATTTGCAGTTTTCAATGAAAATATGAAACTATCAAGTGTAAAGTTTGATTTATTATTATCTTTATCCCACTTGAGAGGATTATATCCACCCAAAATTTCTCCAGTACCTTCAACTTTTAGAATAATAACTGTATTAGATACTTTATCACAAATATTGTAAATAGT